ATAGCTCAGTACAAATAGAAAAATACTCTTGTAATAATCATGAGCAGGCACAGGCAGAGTCAAGGCGGCAAACGGCAACCAGTAGCTAATACAACAACAACCGCAAAGCAAATTCACAAAGAAGAGAAAACAACAAAAATTAATAATTATTATTAGAAAAATATCTTTAGCAATACTTTAATAAATCTGCTATGTTGTCTATGTGTTATATTCGAGGTTTTATTGTAGTTAGATAAGCATAGATAGATAAATCTAACATCTACTTTGTTTTTAGATTTGTTCACTAAGCATTATCATTGCTTTTGTTATGTGGTTTATTTGTTAAGCAAATATTTGAATTCAATCTAAATGTACAAAGGAATCTTTTTATTGAATATGCCATTAGAGCAGTTCTATAGAAAATACAATCTGAGTATTGATATAAAGAGGCATTAAGTAAAAGAGGTTCTATTGAGCTCCAATCAATTAATCTGATATAATTTTCAGTACCTAGCAAACGAACAAACTAGAAGAATACATATTCTGAAAGGTATCAAAAGATTTTAGAGAGATCTAACATCTGCTTATTTGATAACAATTTTACATTATTCTTAACACAACATTTGAAGCTCGAAATAAATTATAAAATCAATAGGATATATGTATACCATGATAGGGTATACCATGCTTGAAAGCCAGACGCCATAAAATTTCAATTCTAGCTTTATAGCTACATATATACATGCCTGATATTTATATTAATCTTTATATATATATTTTAAATTGATCATGATCTCGGTTAGAAGTCAATGCTAGCCAAGACTAGTCGTTAGCTATAGCTGGATCTCAAGTGCTGGCCAGGCTAACGTGTGCATCGCAAGGGGGTAGAGTGGGGCAAGATCATTTGGCTACTTTGCTTGCCGTTGGCTGCCGACTTCTCTCTGTTGGCTGTTGTCTGTTGTCTGCTGTCGGCCGTCTGCTGTCTGCTGTCTGTTGGCCATGTTTCTTTGCTTTTGATGAGTCCGACCGGGCACAGTCAACTGTGCGACTCAAGTGCTCAAGTGAGCAGCGCTGCCCAGAAGCCAGTTCAGATGAACTGCTTCGAATTCAGCCAAGAGACAGTGACAGTTGCTGTCAATGGACAAGGGGCTGGCGAAGAGGGGACGGGGGCGCCGGCGGGTTTGAGCCACTTACAGACGATTGAGAGACAAAAGAAAAGTGCCTTAAAATGTTGACAAATATTTGCTGTGCATTGGCCGCAAAATTATTTGATCAAGACCACCGAAAAAATATATATGTATATATTTATGGATATGTATGTATTTATGTGCGTGTGTATGCATATACATGAAATATTCAAGTAGATACAGTCAGAGAAAGCATTGGGTATGATAATATATTTAAAGAATTTTGTATTACAATTTAAATTGAATTTGAATGAAATAAAAAAAGAAAAAAAAAAATTAATTAAAAAAAAGCGCAATAAATTAGAAAAAAGTCATGAAATCTCCAAATATAAAACTTTTATTTTCTATTTTTTTTTAATGAATTAAATGACTGAATAAACATATCTGTATTTTGAATTATTTTTTATTTATTTATTTTATTTTTGTGTAAATTTATTTTGATTTAATTCAACATAATGAAAGAACTTTCTTTTACTTTTTGCCTTTCCTTTATATAGAACCGTGCATGTTTCTCTCAGTGTACAGGTATACAAATAACATATGTGCTCACTGAAGTAGCCAGAGAGAGAAAGAGAGAGGGAGATCAAAAAGTGTTCAAAATTAAAAATGAAACTTGAAGACACGCGGCTAATGAGATTTCCTTGCGTCATTGCCTCATTCATTCATTCCGATTGCGATTTGTTTGTTTTATGTTTCTCTGTTGTTGTTGTTATATTATTAATATTGTTGTTGTTGTTGTTGCTGATGCTGCTGTGCGTTGCGCAGTTGAACTTGTGTTTTAACATCTTGTGCCGCAGCCAAAGACAATATTTGAGCAATCATCGAAAACACAGCGAACATTGTCTCTATTTTGGAAAAGGTCTCGCCACACACACACACACACACATAGAAGCCACCCAGCAAGTAAGAGAGAGAGAGAGAGAGAGAGAGGGAGCGAGAGATAGAGCAGCTACAGAGGGAGTTCAGTCGGGCGGGGAGCCCCCTCACGCTCTCGCTGCCCAAGCTCCAAAAACGCTTTCCATTTGGAACTGTCAGCGGCAGGCACTGAACAAAGCGACGCAGCAGCCACTCCAGCGTGGACAGGGGGCGAGAAAAAAGTTAATTTAATTTCAAGTGTGTGCAACAATTGTTGGGCTTATCCTTTAGCCAGCCACGCCCACTACCCACCTAGCCCCTCTCTCTTAGTCTCACTCTGCCTCTCTCTCTCTCTCTTTCTTACTCTATTTCTGTGTGCATAGATATATTTTGGGATCTTTCAGCATATTGTTTTACAAGACAATTTGCTTACAATCTTTGACTTATCTTTGGGCATAAAGAAATCCCATTAAATAACTTCCGGGCGGCTTCAAGTCCTGCGGCCAGAATCTGCCAGCATGGCCACGAATTGTCTTGGCTGTGCTTTGCCATGGCTTTGCAACAAGCTGAAACTTTGAACTCTCATGTATTTCACTGAGTTTGTCGAGCCATGAAATTACATTTTGCTGATATACGTGGCGTGGGCTGCTGCTACTCCTGCTCCCCCTGCTGCTGCTGCTGCTGCTGCTGCTGCTGTTGCTGTTGCGAGTGGTTGAGTGCGGGAAGCCATTTTCAGCTAGCACGTGGCCAGGTCTCGAGCTGGGAGCTACAAATTCAAGGAAACGTACAAGATTCGCTTTGTGCCCAAGTTTCACACAGCACAAAGTTTTTGTGTTCATCAGAATTTCAAGATTTGCTGGTGTCATATGCAGATCTTTGATTTTATTTGTAATTGTAATCGAATTATAGCACATACACACACACACATACATGCATACACATACATATAGGTAGGTGTATATATAGAGTATCAATATCCTGTTCGTCATTTGACACACGCCAAAAGCATTTCTTTGGAATTTGGCACAGACTTGGCAAATATCTAATCAAACAGGCAAGCCGGATGCTCCGATTTCAAACAATTGCCGTGACATGGCTCAAGGAACAATTCGCACTCACACACACAGACACACACACACACATATATTTATACAATATTGCGATTTCCATTTGACACCCGAACATAAATGGGCATCATTTAAGGACTCGTTAGCTGAGCAGATTATGCTGCTTGTGTTGCGTAATTTGAGCTGGCCACATTGTGCCCATAACAAGGTCACACAGTTCTTCAGGCAGCCATCGGGGCTGACTTTGGCTATGACACTCTGCCTCTCTGCTAATTCATATAATAACAACGCAACATATTGTGCCGTGGATGTATAATTTTTGTAATAATAATCAGAAGAAGAGGCAACGCCTCAGTTTCGCTCAGTTCTGTGTACACTTTGAAAAATCAGTGGCATGCTTTATTACAAAATATAATTTGAATAATAAAAACCAGAATAACTATAATTTAAAGAAATTCTTAAAAATAAACGAATAATTTTAGAACAATTTTTATGTATGCCAATTGATTGATCATTAAACCAAAAGAATAATTTCATAAAACTTATAAGAACTTCGTTTAAAATAAAATACATAGTGGATTAAATATAAAAGATATGGGGAAAAAATTATAATGTGTAAAAAATATATAATAT